CGCGTGGTCCGTGGCAGCTCCGTTCTCCACCAGGGAACGCACCACGGGCAGGTGGCCCTTCAGGCAGGCCCAGCTGAGCGCTGTCAAGCCCTCTTTGTCCATCAGAGAAATGGAGGCACCTGGAAGAACAAGCAGCAGTTCACTTCTGAGCTCTCCGCTGTTTAGCACTGTTTACTGCAAACTCTGCTCTGCAATGACAGCTTGTTTTCAGAGAGCCCTGTACATAATTATTAATTCCTTTATTAACGTTCCTCCCACCACAGATCCCACCCTCTGTGGCAACTTCAAATACACTTGATGGGAACTGTGGCAAATGAGTTGATTCACACCAAGGTGCAAACTTTTTCACGCCTACCTCTGCAGGCTTTCCTGGCAAACATCTGAGTAGCATGGTAGATCTGACTTCCCTCATCTGAGACATCATCTTTTTAACTGCCTTTTTTTAAAAAAAACTTAATCCAACCCCATTCCAGCCTGTGTGAGTCAGAGATGAAGACCATTTTGCTGTTTCAGCAGGTCACCACGGGGAATTAAGTCAATTCAGCTCTGTTCTCCTAAAAAAGCACATATTCTCCCTTCTTCACTCCCCTCCCCTTTACCCAAAAGCACACAATTTCCAGCAGTATTTCTTCCTGAACTTTACCCAATATAAATACAACGTTGTGGGATACACTACTGCCAACTGCAAGCCAGGGAGAGGAGGACTTGACGTTTTCTTGGATGAGGAAATGGCGCTGCCATACCAACGGGTCAGTATTGCTCCACACGGCATATGGATAGGGACATGAGAGCTGAACAGCAGCTTCAACTGAACACTCCTCTTCATGGCATGAAGACAACTCCTGTTGCCATGGCACAGCCATGGCTGTGGCTCTGGAGAGTGCAGAGATTATCTGTGCCAGCTCTGCTGCTCCGAGGAGCTGCAGCTACCTGCGGGATGCTCCTGCCAGCAGCTGGGATGAATTGAGGCTGCAGTGCTTTTCTCCTGGAGGCAAACTCTAAACCTCCCAGCATGAGACTCCCTGCCTCTAGAATCTTCAGCAAATGTGGGTGTGATTGAATTTCCAAAATGTTCCCGCTCATCCCAGCTGACACAGCCCCGGTCTGCACAGGCTGCCCAGCTGAAAGCAGACTGAGAGTTCTCCCTGCTGGCACAAACTGTTTGTGGAGGAGTACAGCATGGCAATGTTTGCTCCAGGTGTGCTCAGAAACCTCTGGCCAGAGCTCTCAGCACAGCCTGGAGTGAGGGGAGGAGGCAAACAGCACCTGGAGCCATCAGGAATGCCAAGGTGGGACAAGGGCTGCAAGGTACAGGCTCAGGGAGGGCAATGTAGAATCACAGACTCATCTAGGTTGGAAAACACTTTAGTATCATTGAATCCAACTGTTCCACCAGCACTGCCAAGCTCTCCACGAACCATGTCTCCAAGTGCCACATCTTTAAATCCCTTGAATCTCTCCAGGAATGGGAGCTCCACAACTGCCCTCAGCAGCCTGTGCCAGGGCTGAACAACCCCTTCATCCCTCCCCCAGAGAAACCTGAGGCTCTTTCCTCTAGTGCCTTATTCCCTGGGAGCAGAGCCCAACCTCCATCTGGCTTCCTCCTCCTGCCAGGATGTTGTGCAGAGTCAGAAGGTTCCCCCTGAGCCTCCTTTTCTCCAGGCTGACCTGCTCCCAGCTCCCTCAGCCAGATCCTTCCCCACCTCTGTTTTCTTCTTTGGACACGCTCCAGCACCTCAACACATTGCCAGTGTTTTCTCACATTGCCCACACTGTACCCAGGAACCATTCTGAAGCTGTGGGAAAGCCTCTCCAGATGATCCTGAGCTGACCCAAGCTCAATTTTTTTTCTCTGGATGAAGCTGGAGCTGGTGTGGTTGGATGCACCACAGCTGGTCCCAACACTGTGTTTCCTCACATTGCCCACAGTGCATCCATTCTGAAGCTGTGGGAAAGCCCTTCCAGATGATCCTGAGCTGACCCAAGCCCAAATTTTGCTGGATGAAGCTGGAGCTGGTGTGGTTGGATGCACCACAGCTGGTCCCCAACACTGTGTTTCCTCACATTGCCCACAATGCACCCATTCTGAAGCTGTGGGAAAGCCTCTCCAGATGATCCTGAGCTGACCCAAGCTCAATTTTTTCCTCTGGATGAAGCTGGAGCTGGTGTGGTGGGATGCACCACAGCTGGTCCCAACACTGTGTTTCCTCACATTGCCCACAATGCATCCATTCTGAAGCTGTGGGAAAGCCCCTCCAGATGATCCTGAGCTGACCCAAGCCCAAATTTTTTCTCTGGATGAAGCTGCAGCTGGTGTGGTGGGATGCACCACAGCTGGTCCCCAACACCTCCCAGCACGTGCTCTGACCTTGTGCAAGCAGGAACTCCACAGTGCCCAGGTGTCCCTCGGATGCAGCCATCATCAGCGGCGTCCGGCCCTGCTTGTCTGCCATGTTCACATCAGCACCGTGTGTCAGCAGGAGATCCACGATCTGCAGCACACAGAGCCAGGGTCACACGTGGAGACACAGCTGAGAAGATGCCAGAGCCAAGGAAAAGCAGAATAGACACCACATTCTAAAAACTCCCACCCCTACAGGCATGGTGGCCTCTGGGATTGCTGGATGGTTGATTGAGGATTATGAAAATGAAGGGAGGTATAAGGACAGGAAAAATGTTCTGGTGAGTCATGAGCATCCTGTTTGCTTCTCAAATGGTGAGATAACCAGAGAAGCTGTGGCTGCCCCACCCCTGGAACTGTTCAAGGCCAGGCTGGATGGGGCTTGGAGAAACCTGGGATAGTGGAAGGTATCCCTGCCCATAGGAGGGGGATGGAATTAGATGATTAGATGATCACTATTCCATGACTCTATGATAACACAGGACTGCAGCCAGCCAGAGCCTGGGGCGACAGAAGAACCAGTATCACTCCTTTTTACTCTGACCACTCCCCGAAAGAGCTGGGGCTTGTCTTCTCCATTCCAGCATGAGAGAAGGGACGGCCTGACCCAGCAGGGCGAGAGGAGCCCACTGACCTGCCAGTGTCCCTGTCTGACGGCGCTGAAGAGCGGCACGACCCCGCGGCGGTTGGGCTGCGCCACGGCGGCGCCCTGCTCCAGCAGCAGCCTGCACACCTCCAGCTTCCCGCGCCCCGCCGCCGCTGTCAGAGCTGCACGGGACAGGAAAACAGTCAGGGAGAGAGCCACGCGCTCACCGGGGTGTTCTCCTACCTGGAAATGGCTCTTTCTGCTGGATGGGGTCTGAAAGGTCAAAGCTGTCTCATGGCGGGAAAAAACCGACAAAGAAAACGGGCTGGGTTGGTACAGCTTCCACTCTTGTAATTTTAGTTGCCTCAAAGGTCAACTCTTCCATGAAAAGTTTACATAATGTCACAGAATGAGGCTGTCTGGGACAATCAGCTTTTACTGTTTTCTGCAAGTCACAGTGAAATGGGATGAGAACCCCAATAAGTATAAAATAATCTTGGCTGAGGTTCAAGGGGTGTCTGAGGTTCAAACTGACTGAGGTTGAAGCTGAGACTCAGGTTCAGGTTTAGCTGCAAAGAAATGTGATCATGATTTCAATGCTGTTTTCCCTAATGCCAAAGCCATAGGCTGTGAGGCCAAATGCATCTGAGAAGGGGCACAATATCCAGAGAACATAAAGGTCTTCAGGTACTTGACAAGACCTTCTGCAACCTGGCACTGCCTCGTGCCACCATGAGTACAAGGGAGCAAGTGAGGGATCAAGCAGAGGCACTGGCAGATCCTGCCAGCCACTGGTATCAGTCACATTTGTGGCTTTTCTTTGTCCAAACAAGCACAGAGCAGTGTAATCCAGATGGAGGACTTTTAATTTCCATATCCCACTTAATTTGTAGATCTTTGAGACCATGGAAACAACTGGAAAGCAAAATAGGGTGGATTTGTTCACCTGTTTTCCAAAAAGAGCAGTATTTCTGGGCTTTGTTTCTGGCCAGGGCCGATCCTACCAGCCAGGGTCTTTGTGCAAACCCAAAAATATCTCTCATTTTCATATGCCCATGATATTACAGGCGGGTAGAAGCAACACCTGAGAGCTCTTTCCCATATAAAACGTGCTCTGTTAACTCAGAAGTGTGGTTGAGTTAGAGAACACATACTCAGTCTGAAAATAGTTCCAAGTTCAGGACCTGCCGGTGGCTCGTTTCAGTATTAATTTTAGATCTTCTGGTTCCTCCCTCTCCCTAACTTTCTGTGCACTTCAGCACAGCTCCACTGGCTCCCCGTTCTGCTGCTTCTGGTAGGAGTTGGAGCAGAAGGTGGGAGTCTATTTCTGACTGATGTCGCTTGTTTTTTCTTTGAAATACATTTCTGTGGGTTGGCCGATTACAAGGTGTTGATGGGTTTCCAACTGCAACACTGTTAATGGTGTGGGATTTAATTAATTCTCAATTCTCTTCCATATTACGGCTGAATTTTCTTCTCTTGGGGTTGAGAGACAGCAAGAGTTAAATGAAAAATCATTTTGCTGCCACAAGCAGAACGTTCTGCAAAATCTATAATCAGATCCATGTGGGTTTAAAACGTAAGCTACAAATATAGAAGGAAGCAGAGGGATTGGCATGCAGGGCTGCTGAATTCCACTGCTAAACCTGCTTGCACTCGAAATATTGCAGGTTAATTTGACGCATTTTACATCAAAATTACTTATGTTTGTGACAATGAAAATATTGTGAATCACTCCAGTGTTTGGTGTTTGTTCTTCGGAGAAGACTTTACAGAAACAGGATTATTTGATCCATAAATTGTCTGCTTTCCTTTGCAATTCCTTCTTTCTGCAGTGACACATCTTTCTGCTGCTCTGTCCCTCAAGGTCCAAGCAATTGGAGCGGGGATGCAGCTCCAGCCTGTCCTTTGCAGCTCCAGCTCCAGGAAAGCTCAAAAGCTCAAAAGGAGCCAGACCTTGCTCCTCCAGGAGGAATTAAAGAGGATGAAAATGGGCTGGTTTGAAGTTTCACAGTCAGGTGAGTCCACTGAGCCCAGCCAAGGAGCAGCAAGGATCAGCGTTGGTAAAAGGAATTGTGCAGCTTTTCCACGAGGATGCAGTTCCAGAAGGACCACTCACTGTGCAACAACCAAGTCCTGGCATAAACACCACACAACAACTGCTGTGTTTCTCAAAACAGCTCAAACAGAGCCTGAGACCAGGTTCAGGCGTGGATGTGCCCATCTCCATCAGCAAACCACAGCCTCCGACACCAGGGATCTGCAACAGCGTATTCTGTTTCTGCTGCTGTGTTTTCTTGTAGAAAGAACAACTTTATCTGGAGAAGGAATCATTAAAGGGCTCCTATCCAGCACGTGTATCTGTTTCGCAGCCTGGCAGCAAGACAAACACTCTGATGGAGATGTTTTTTGCACCTCCAACTCTGATGGAGATAGCATAAGTGACTCAGACACTTTTCTGCTGGGTTTTGATGTTAGCTCTGTCCCAGGGGGAAATGCTCCATCTGGAATTGGCTGTAGTGTGCTGTCAGCAATTCCTAAACTTATGATGTCACTTGGCACTGCCATTGGGATGATATCAGGCTGATATCATCGAGCCAGGCATTTGGTTCTGCTCTGCGGAAGATGAGACATGAGCAACAAGTACCAAAACTCAGACAAGCCAGGATTCAGATTTTCAGAGCAGACTGCTATTTTTAGGTGAAAACCTGCATTTCTGTCCAAATTTATTTAAACTCTCTACTTATTTTTGGGAAAATAAATCATACAGTTATGTGAAAGTGAGTCTTGAGTTTCATATAAACTTACAGACTTGTTTCATGTAGACAAAAGGCTGCTCAGTTTGGTGGTTGGCTCATTTTTGCTCATTTTCCCATCACACCTACCACCAATTTTAATGTAAAAGTGCCTATTCCTTTGAGATGGCTCCCCAGTTTGTGTATGATTTGTCCATCCCAAATCCACATTCCCAACTGTCCCAGTTACTCAGAACCCCTCTCTGATAGAGAAGCTCCAAGGTGTCTGGTTAGTCCAGCTTTTTGCATTTTGGGAGGCAGAGGTGGGGCACAACAGAGATGGAAACAGGCTGGGAATGTCAGAG